ATCTGGATAAATCATTGAGGGAAAATAGCGAAACAAACATGAAACATTTTTAAAAAGCACCGAAATTTTCATCATTGTTTTCGATTTCGATTTTCTTTTACTTGCTTTCATGGCCTAATGACTTTTTGATAAGATAAGAAGAGAAGTAGAGAGTAGAAGGGAAAATATATAAACGAAAACCTGTCAGCGAAATACTCATAAGTTTATGTTTTAATTTTAAAAGGTTATATCTTAACTTTACTTACTACTTAATTTTGTTTAAATTATTCTTTTAGGAAGAAGCTTTCTAAAGAAATTGTTTTTAGCGAGTACGAAGCCTAATCGAAATCAAGATCAATATCAAACTAACTTCACATGGGTGATAATTTCCTGTAAACTGACATACTTCGTGCAATATGCTATATATGTTAATAGGATACCCTTTCTTAAGCCTAATAAGTGCCTTAAGATTACCTTATTACAAGGAAGGAAATAGCATTATAACCTTATTCTATTAGCAAGTGCAACCAAGCCTGAGACTCTCAAACTATTTGATCACCAGCCTGCCTTTCCGCCCATTAGACGTTTATAAATATTTTCCAAAAATATCTGAACATTAATCAAAAATTTTCACACCTCCAGCAGAGAGGAAAGCACTGTCCTCTTCCCATTCACCTCCTGTCCTGATCAACAATCCTGAGGGTTTAGTTTCGTTGAATTTGTTTTCCCTGTTTGGGTAAATGTTTCGTATTGTTGACATTTGCTGGTCATGAAAAGTCATTAAATATATTTCTCTAATTTATCTTTCGACTGTGGCAGCTTCGGTCGGCGGTGGTAATGGCATTAAAGTAAAGTTGGGCAAAGTGAAAAGAAAGCGGAAATGTTTGTCTGGCCACCAATGCTCGGTTTGGTTTGGTTCGGCTTGGGACCTCTGAGGTCTGATCTCCGACCACCCACCCTTTACCCTAACCACCCATCAACCCTTTCCCAGCCCGCTAATTAAAACTAATCCCGAGGAAAGGACCCAGCCATTCAGGGTGTTGTTATACTTTTCGCATAACTGTCAATCAGTCCCACAATTAAATGATTGAAGACACTCAGCTTTGGCTTTGTTTTGCCGCTTCTTAGATATATTCCTCATAAATTCAGGCTGGATCTTGTGCAATAATGTTTATATATATCTATGCAGAGCTCGCTTTTTAGTTGGCCTGAGCTGGTTTAGTTTGAATGCATATCAAGTGGATGCAGATACAAAATGTTTTCATGAGAAATTGACTTTTTCCATTGCTCCAAAGACGACGTCGTCGTCAGATGTCTGTTGGCTGTTGTCTTCCTTTGGCCGGAATGATTAATGGTTCTGCTCTTTGCGCATTCGTCGGCCCACACCAGCGGCAACAAAAAGACATCCACATCCACATCTACATCCACATCCACATTCATATCCAGCATTTGTTGCTCCCTCTGTATCTGTATCTGTATCTGTATCTCTTTTTGTGCCGCTGAATGAGAATTTCTACTGCATCGCGCATCAGCATTTGGCGTTTTCAGCTACTGAGCCGCCTCACTACCATTGTCTCCCAGTTTTTATTGTGGCTCCCCGCGTTTTTCGATTGAATTCGCCTCGGTACTTGCAGATACTTGAGCTTATCGCCCGGCCTTTAAAGTTTCAGCCAACTCGTTGTCGCTCAACCGCAGAGGGCTCACATAATTTAAGGCCAAGTCAAGGCAAAAGTCACCCATACCCGGCTAGACCGACCGAAACCTACAAGATAAATTGAGGTCATTTTTTGCCAGTGGCCACCTTTGGTCAGTCCGGTGTCCGGGTTCGAGTTCAGGTTCGGGTTAGGGCTCTGGCTCTGGCTCTGGGTCCATGTCCACCTTGTTGACCGGCCACAAATGTCCTTAATGTGCATCCTTATGGACTGCGGTCATGTGCAAGTGGTCGAGATGGTCGAGCCCAAAAAATGCTGCCCATCCCCAACTACTTAGGTAAGTATTCACGAGTAGTTAGCGCTAGGCAAACAGCCACGAGTGTACAATTCATTCTGAAAATTCCCTGGCATGTGAGTGGGGAGTGGATGATTTAGATGGGGAGGTGGGTTGGAGTGCACTGAGAGGAGTTTATTTTCATAAGGAAGTATTCTTAAAATATACAAAAAACAGTTAATGGAATGATTTTTAAAATAGTTTAATATTATTTTGGGAACAGGCTTAGTTAGTCATATAAATACATACTTTTTAATATTTATAAAAAGTCCTTTAACTTGTTTATGTTTTAGGAATGCCTGCCAATCAAAGAGGAAAAGACTTATCTCACTTTTGGCTAAATATACATTTAAACGGAAAAGCGAGGTGCAACTTTTCCCCGTGTACTTAATATAATATGCGTTTCTAGCAAAAAGCACGAACATCCCGGCCACCTTTGACCATTTGTGCAATTGTTGCAAAATTTACGCTCATTTTAATTTCAGCCCGAAAGAGCGGCAAATGCGTTGAATGTTACGCTGTTGACCAAACTCTTTCCTAACCTGGCTGCTTTTGTTTTTTGCCGGGCAAGTTCCACCCGAAATATAAACATAAATCCTGGCCATTCAGCAGTGGTGAGGTGGGGCGAAAGAAGGTCCTGTTGGTGGACAACGAGTGCGTTTAAGTGTTAACATGTAAATGATGCTGTTGAAGCAGTTAATAAGTGTATGCCAAGGGCTGTAAATCATCAGGAGAGTGTTTCCTTTCCATAGAAATTAATTTTATTTGCAGAAGAAGACGGAGATTTACGAGCAAATAATAACCAAGTGATGATTGCGAATATTAAACTTGGGGCTTCTTTAAGCCCCTTCCCATCTCCTCCTAGTAACTCCTAGTAATCCAAAGGCAGCTGCAAAGTATCCTTCGCTCGTAGTTTGCTGATAAGTTTCCATTCTGACTTTTCCGGCATTTCATCCATGCTGATGACATTTCCAATGTCCCCCCACACTCCTCCAGGCCATGACAAAACAAAATTCATTTTGTAATTTCCAAGCCACCTAGAAAAGGCCAAAGCCAGCCAACCAGCCAGCTGTCATTTGTTGGAGTTGGCAGTGCGGGGCTGGATGTTTGGATTCCATTTTGACCAGGCTGCAGAAATTGCACTCAACTTGGCTGCCTAGAATCTTTCCCACTCCCCCTTTCCGCATTCCGCATTCCGCCCACCACCCATCGTCCCTCTGGCAGTGCCACGCCCTCCGCTCCGCTCGATTCGGGTTTAGAAAATTATCTTTCTACTCGTCGTCGCCGTCGCCAAAAAGGAAATCATATTTTCTGCTTTTGTGCACTTTACTTTTCAGTTTTCGTTGGCTGCCGCTGCCACTGCCGCTGGCTCTGGCAGTGCCTCCAGTTTTCAGTTCGCTCGTAAACAGTTTTCGGGTGCAACTTTTGTGCGAAATTTATGCTTTCATTCCGTATCTGTATCTGGGCACTTTTCGCACAAGTAGATGCGACTTGGGTCTGGTAAATGGGTAAGGGGGAGTGGGTAGTGGGAAAAGGGAAATGGCCCACCCTCCTGGAATTTTCTCGGTATACTCGTACATGTGCTTGTGCCCCACCAGGTGGTGTTTATGGCATCCGCTCTGCGAGTATTGATGAAGGAACTCGGGCCGGGCTCGCATCTGTAATTCAATCAGTGTCTATGTCTGGCTCCTCGTCCTGCCGGCTCGTCCTCCTCCTGCCAGGATCCTTTTCCTTTCGCCATTTGCCGCTATTGAGACCCTGTTTACGCAGCTCGTTCAACTGGAAACACGGTGCTTGTTGCCAAAAGGCGAGCTGGCGAAAAAATACAAAAATATTTTGCAATCGCATCAATGCAAATAAGGTGGCAAAAGTTCGAAGGCGGGAAAAAGGTAGCGAAATGTTCAGTTTCCTAAAATGATATGCGCATTTCTTTACTACTCAATGCCAGTTTTATTTCGCGGAAATTTATTTTCCACGAGTTTGGGTACCAGGCCGTTCTGAGCAGAAACAACTCGGCTGATCTCTATCATTAGAACTTGTTGCGTTAGCTTTTATGGTTTTCAGTAGGTTTTGTTTTTGAAATAAGTTTCTTAAAACATATACGAAACATTATAAGTTCTTTCGTAGTTTCATTACTACATAATAATGATATAAAAAGAAATAAGCATCTGACTGAATGCCCTTTGCAGTCTTGTCGATTTCTGATGTGAGCATATGTTGGAGTAGATAGAGTCTTTGGATATACCGTCTTTTACCCAGAATATCCTTTTATTATGTTTTATATTTACATTTTAAGAATTTGAAAGATTAGATTAAATACTCCAAAGATAAGCCCTTCGACCATCAAAACTAACTAACTAAGCTTTCAAATATTAGATTGACAAGATGAAAACCCAAAGTAAATGAAATGCTTTTTTGTCTCTAATAAACTAAGAAGTAACCACTTTTTCTATTTAATTAAACATTTTTTGTCTGTCAGAAATTAAAATAATTTTCTGTTTGTTATTCAAATTAAGTTTTTCCGTCACTCCCCTGGAAGCTATTTTCCATGGAAGCTGCTGGCTGGGGCTTCTGTTTGGTAGTCGCCGAACTACTCGAGAGCCCTGCTGTGGGCACGTCTTTGCCTCACTGATTGATTGATTAGATTTTTGTTAATTACTTAACGCTCGAGCTGCGAGTGTCGCGCCGAGTGTCTCAGCGAGGAACTTACTGCGCGGCATCAGCTGCACTTTTTGGCAGATATGCCGCAGAATCGTGAAAGTTTCCTTATCTAGTTGGGCGAGTTTCGCTGAATTAGTTATGCCCTCTGACGAGCTGATAGATTGATTACGGACGGAGATAGAGAGGCTGATTCCTTGAAACTGAGGACTCACTGCGAATGCAATATGTTGACGTATGTACCATGGCCACGCCCACACACGGGGACATGTTGGAGGGACTAGCCCCCAGAACAACCAAATAAAAAGAAAAATCGAAAAAAATTCACATTCACTCCGCAAGTCTCAAACGAACAAAATGCAATTTCTCAATTGCAGCTGAATTCGTTCCAGAAAACGGCCTGCCCCGACGACTCCGCACCGCGTACACCAATACCCAGCTGCTGGAGCTGGAAAAGGAATTCCATTTCAATAAATATTTATGCCGCCCAAGGAGGATCGAAATAGCAGCCAGCCTGGACCTTACGGAGCGACAGGTGAGTGCTCCTCTGCTCGGTGCATTGCAATTTATTCCGCTGCATTCGCACATGGCTGCAGAATTCCATTATTCCGCTGACAAATTGCTCTGTGAGCTGTTCTCTTTTCCCTCGATTTTCCCACTTTTTAATTGCACACACCTTGACGGAAGTCGAACTAATCCCATCTTGGTTGCAGGTAAAAGTTTGGTTCCAAAACCGCCGCATGAAGCACAAGAGGCAGACGCTCTCCAAGACGGACGATGAGGACAACAAGGACAGCCTCAAAGGTGACGATGATCAGTCCGATAGCAGTAAGTAAAGCAAATATTTGATTATAATTATTATTTCTTTAAGATGTGGATTAAGTTGACAGATTGCAATGAGACCAAAATATGAACCAAAAATAAGTAGATCAAACAATTTCCAAACATTTTTAGTTTTAATAAGACTAAACCAGTTCTACAAAACTTATAAATTCTGAAAATCCTTTAATAAATATATGAATAAGTCTCGTAATATTTCCATTTAGTATATCCTAAAAGGAGTTAGAAACCAAAGAAAACTGTACCAAAAATGAAACTCGCTTTTGGGAGTTTACCAACAAGTTGTTCCACTTTTACTTTTTCGGTTTTGCCTGGTTTCGTTTTTGAGGCTTTTACGCAGAAGTAAGAGATGGTGTAGCTTATCAATCATTGTCAGAGGATGGGATGGGTCGGAACGACTTTTGGCTGGGCGAAGACCCTCGACGTGCTAACCCCTTTCGCGTGAGAGTTCCGACTTTGGTTCTGGGCTCTCCTCCTCTCGTCTCGTCTCAATCCTCCACTTACGACAACAAATCATCAATATTCGTGGCTATATACCTACTGATTTGCTTTTATCTTACCTTCCCGTGAAATGCAGACTCCAATTCGAAGAAATCGTGTCAAGGCTGCGAACTGCCCTCCGATGATATACCCGATTCCACGTCCAATTCCCGGGGACACAACAACAACACCCCGAGCGCCACCAACAACAATCCGAGTGCTGGAAGCCGTAAGTTTGGATAGAGGAATCAGTAACATTTATAATTATCTATTCTTATACTTTAGTAACACCCAACTCGTCCTTGGAAACGGGTATCTCCTCGAACCTAATGGGCAGCACCACCGTATCCGCCTCGAATGTGATCAGCGCCGACTCCAGCGTGGCATCTAGTGTCAGCTTGGACGAGGACATCGAGGATAGTAGCCCCATCAAAGTGAAGAAAAAAGACGACGGACAGGTAAATCATTTAGACCGTTAAATATTTTGAAAATGGATCTTAAAGAGACAAACACTTTTAAATTGATAGAATTTGTCTTTTGAGAGCATTAAATCAAAAATGAAAAATTATTTATGCTTATGAAAACGTTAACATTATAATCCTTTATTACATAACACTAGATTATCAAAAAGGAGGCGGTGTCCACCTCGTCAAAGGCCTCGCCCTTTGGCTACGAGAACACCACACCCAGTCTGGTCAGTTTTCGGCGGGACTCGGACGCCGCCGCCGTCGGAAATGCACCCGCCAGCAAGGCGGGCGGCAAGAAACGCTTTCAGAGTGCCGCCAATGCCATTGCCACGCCTACGCCCCTGACGGACAGCAATAGTGGTAATGGAAATGGGGGTGGTGGTGGCCCAGCTGGCGGCTACTTTCCTGGCTATTATGCTAGTCCAAAGCAGCAGCAGCAAATGCAGCAGCAGCAGCAGCAGCAGCAGCAACTGCACCCGCAACAGCAGCAGCCGCAGGACTATTACGGCAAATATGACATCGAATTCGCCGCCTCGCCGCACCACAATCCGCTTAACAAACAGCAGTCGCTGCACGGCGAATATCTAAGTCCCAAACCAAATGCGGCCAATTTCCATCAAAATAGTCAGCAGCAACAGCAGAACGACCAGTTTTACTACAACTACAACGACACCAACGGTAGTGCGTACTTAAACCACCAGCAGCAACACCACCAACACCAGCAGCACCACCAACAGCAACAACAGCAACACCACCATGTAGCCGACTTTGAGGCCCCTGTTAACGGTCCCGGCAACTTCAACAATGGCGCTTACTATGATAACATGAGTTTTCAACAACAGGCCCAGGCTCACCAACACCAATCGGTGGTCTTTCAACAGCAGCAGCCTCACCAGCAAGCAGCGATAAATCACCAGTGAGTAGCAAAATCTACATCAATTTCTTTATTTGTATATCAATACCTTATCGAAAAATTAATCTAGAATATATGAAAAACCCGTTGTGTATTCAGTTCTGAAATGAATTATTTTACATTATTAACTTTCAATGGTTTCTGTCTGAAGTGTACAGCGCCAACTTCTGAATGGTTTCAGTCTTTACTGTACAGCACTGTTAAACTAGCAAGTATTTAGCCCCGATAACCCCAATATGGTTCGACATTTATGTTACATTAGCCGAGCTCCGAACCATTTCTGATAGAATTTTCACTACTCGCGTAGGTGGCGTCATCTTACACGGTGCCGGCAGAAAAGTGTTTATCCGAGCTGTAAATGAAGCAGAAATCGTAATAGAAGTATATTATTCATGCTGTGTATTCTTCTAATTCTTCTTCTTTTTCTAATTAATGTATGTTTGAAAATGTTAACTAAGTTAATTTGTTCGTTTAGGAAGAATTAAAGATTAGCTTATATACTTTGAGTAATGAGGACGACTTAAGATTTAGGTGGAAAAGTTCTTCTGTTTAATATAAAAAATTTGCTTTTCATGATATATGACCCACCCTAAGAATAAATTTTGAAAATTGTAATGCTTAAAAAGCATTTTAATGACCTTCAACCCCATTGTCCTGAATTCAAGTTCTAATCTTTGCCCTTCTTATCCCCCACAGACACATGCATCACCTGGGCGCCGGGGAAACGTATAGTGCTCTAGGCCTGCAGATGGAGAACTGCGAGGGCTACAACAACTTCGGTGCCGCCAGTAGCAGCGGTGGATACTACGAGGCGGGTCAGCAGCCCCCTGGTCCGGCCACCCACGGCCACCACCCACACCACCATGTGCAGGTGCCAGCGCAGGCGCATGCACACATCCATGCTCACCACAATTCTGCGGCGATAACCGGAGGAGTGGGAGTTGGACCACCGCCATCGCACATCCACGGCTTCGCCCTGAATGGAGGACCGACTGGTCAGGCCCAGGGATTTGGAAATAATGGAAGCACTGCGGCAGGGACGGCAGCGATCAGCGGGCTGGAGAACTCGAACAGCTCGGACTTCAACTTCCTGAGCAACCTGGCCAACGACTTTGCGCCGGAGTACTACCAACTTAGTTAGTTTATGTAGGAAGTGAGCCTGGAGCAGGTGTAAATACGTCTTAGCCTAATTCGCCGCGGGGCGTGAGTCTTGTAATTCTATTCAGTGTCGTAGCCTCTTAAGCACTTTGTCCGTAGCACATATCTGTAAATAATACAATTAAGGTTTAAATCTAAACAGGAGTTCTATTCCACTTTTTTAGGCTAAACAAATCAAAAATGTTTGGACTTTGTTTTGGCTCCAAGTCAGAATGAAGACCTATCTTGAAAATTCCATTCGAAAATAGAAGAGGTTTGGAAATTGTACATAGTTAGAGAAATTCAACAACTTTCACAAAAGTCCTAATCAATGAATATAAATTATGGAACTATCTTTGATTAACTGTGTTTTGTAAATATCCGAAGTAGCTTAAATCAAAAACTAAAAACAAACTGTCAATAAATCTAAAGCAAAATTAGAAATAACTTTTTGGATCGCTCACGATTCAAGTGCAATTTCCCAATGAAAAACTTTGATTTAGAATCCTAAAGCACTCTCAATTATTTCAATGTTTGTCATGTTTGTATGTTGCTCTAAATTTTTCCATAATAGTAAACAAATATATTATAAATATGACTATAATTACTGTCTTAGATATCTTTGTAAGGAGAAAGAATAAAAAATAATTAAGATACACGACTTTCAGAATAAAAATATCTTACAAAACATTCTAGTAGATCGGACGTCTGTATGCAATAGCAACTATTGGGTCGATATTCAGAAATGGCGCTATTTTTAACTAAAGTTTAATGTTTTTCAAGATATGCTGACTATACAATTTGTATACTATTTCAAAATATCCTCAATGTCTATAACTTTCTCTGCTTTATAAAGCACTTCAAATGTTAAAAAAAAAAGATATTGACCTAAAATTTATAAACCAGATTTTGGCTAAATTTTAAAGAAATGGTAACAGCCGTTCAATTTTAAAAGTTTTTATGTTTTTCAAGGTATTGCGACCAATTACCTTTTAAAAAGTCAAAAGGCAACTAGCTACATCGGGCTTGGTTAGTGACCCAGAAAAAGAATACCATAAAACTGGCAATAAATACATAGGATCCGAAAAGCTTTCTGCTAACTTCTTCACACTTTTTAAAAAATGCAAAATAATGTATTTTCTAGAATTTATGGTTTTAAAATCAGGTTTAAAGTAAATAATGAGATACATTATATTATTATTCTAGCCTAAATTCATTCAAATATTTTTGGACGAATATATAGCATAATATTTATAAAACTTTTTCAAGTCCATCAGAATCGATCGACCTTATGCGAGGGCATAGGGTCCATAAACTTCGGTTTACCGAACTGAACTTCCGTCCTTAAGAATGTTTTTATTCACATTGTGGGCAAATCTGAAATATGCCGCGTCTGGCGTAAGTCTGGCTTCAGGAAAACCAGTTTATAATGTCATATTCTATTCCTACACAGCATACTCGGAAAATGAACAAGTCTAAAGGCTGAAATGAGAACTGTAAAATCCGGCGACTCAGATCCGTTTTACACAAAAACCAACCGGAAGCCAACAGACCACGTGCTAAAACACAAAACCATAGTCAAATCCGTGACATACTTATATAAGCAGACATATGTACTTCAGATCGATCCGATTTTGATTTATTATTCGCTGATAGGATTGGTCAATTTCCAGAGCCGAATCGAATCGTAGCGGGTGTAGCAAATAGATCTATGAATGGAATGGAACGATCGAAAGAAAAAATCCAATTTGACTTTAAAACTCGAACTTCGGAATTTCAATGTCGCAGCCAAACTCAATTAATTGGCCACACAGCCACTCGAATTGAGCCCTCATGAAGCAAAAATAATTAAATTGTACTTGGATCTTAAATTGAATTCTGCCCCCAGCCATAAGTATCCTGAAAGCCGGACACAGTGAAAGAGTGAAATGAACCATTTAAATGACAAGTATTGGTTTATTTTTAGAGGTCGTTCGTAAAACTATAACAAAAAGGGCTGGGGAATGGGGAATGGCAGTTCTTAGTGGTGGTAGGCAACAGCGGGGGCGGCGTACGAGGTGTAGGCAGCAGCTGGGGCGGCGTAGTGGGCCACGGGAGCCACGGTCTTGACCACAGCGGGAGCAGCGTAGTGGGCAACCGGGGCAACGGTCTTGACCACAGCAGGGGCGGCGTAGTGAGCCACTGGAGCGACGGTCTTCACAACGGCTGGGGCGGCGTAGTGGGCCACAGAGGGAGCAGCATAGGTGGCGACAGGGGCGGCGTAGTGGGCGACAGCGGGGGCGGCGTAGTGGGCAACGGGAGCGGCGACGGTCTTAACAACTGGGGCAACGGCGACGGCCTTGACGAGGGGCTCACGGTTGACCACGGCGTTGAATCCGTTGATGGGGTCGGCGGTGTACTGGACGGTCCTCTTGTAGCCATCGGCGTCGATCAGCGAGTACTCTCCGCGGACCACGTCTCCGTCGCGCTCCTCAACCTGTCCCTTGTTGTCGCCGGTCAGCTTGTCATCGACTCCGTAGGAGAAACGGTACTGGGGATGGGGATCGTACTCCTCGGCGGCCTTGACCACGACCTTCTGGGCGACGGCCACGGGGGCGTGGGCGTAGGTGGCCACTGCTGGAGCGGCATGGTACACCTGGGGGGCGGCGATGGGAGCGTAACCAGCGCTGGCCACGGCGACGAAGGCGAGGGCGAAGACGAACTGGAGGCAATATTGGTTAGATCAACAGTGATGTGGGGGTAAGCTTTTAAGGACTCACTTTGAATGCCATTTTTAGGATTTTTTGGGTTTGTGGGTTGGTTCTTTGCAGAAACGGTGCTGAGGGCTGAATGATGTGGCTTCTGGCCCGGCCATCGGTTTTATAGCCCTCGCTTGCACTTTCCGCGCAGGTGAGGCAAGGTGCTTACGCTTGGCCTTCTGAATATCATGCTCCGAATTAGCGCGAAGTCACCGCTCTGCGCAGTCGACAACGGCGCTTGCAGAGACTTGAGCAGCGGGCCGAGAGAGGAGGTGCGATTGGCCAATGTGTATGCAGTCCAATTATTTAGAAAGGATTCGGCGGATTGGCGCGGGATTTCCCTTCGGCCAGGTGCCCACGTACAAATTGGTCGTTGTGAAATGATTGCATCTGCTAATGGCGTTCGGGTTATTTGCGGATCTTTAAAGGATGGTACTGGGGATGTGCCTTAGCGCTGGGTGGCCTTGATTCTCGCAGATTACGTAAAGAGGCCAAAAGTTGAAGATCAAATCGGAATGAGGTTGTGATTCTGTAGACTGATTGTGCTCCTTATTCAAGGATAATGTTTTATGTGACGTATTCTCAGGGTTTTTGTGTTATCGTTACCGATCTAAGGCGACAGTTATCTAAGGTACATATATCCTTAAACATTCTTCTCTTTAACAGCAGTCCACAGCTATAAATGTGGAACGAATGGATTCTGAGCCAAAGTTCATTGAACCTTCTCCGCGAATAAATAGCAACTTTTCGAAGTTACATAACACATACAAGATTACGAAACCGTTTGAATAATAATAATAATTTTATCTAAAAACTACAACGAATTCCTTAAGAAGATTAAAAATCGATCTTAAGCTCAGAATATGGAAAAAGGGAAAAGTAAACAATCTGATTGCAAAATTACTCATTATTCTGTAGAGAAACAATAAGAATAGGATAAGCAAACAATCTGAATAAGATATTAACTACTTCTTCTAGAGAACAAAACAAAAAGTTGAAGTACATCTCATTATGACCATTTTATGCCCAGCAATTTAGTTAAGTAATTAGCCACACATTAAGTCCGGCCAAACCCTTTTGTTTTGCAACCTTTCGCCAGAGATCTTTCACTCTTTTGGTGCTGACGGCTTTAGAATCCGTGGCCAAAAGCATTTGCACACCCACAGAGCTTAGCGCCACGAACAGGAAGTACAAGTTATTGCCCGGCAACAATCGCAGTCGAGAAACATTAAAAATATTTCGCTGTCACCGCGAAAATAACGCTCGCTGCCGGCTGATTGGGCCAAGGCGGAGCAGAGCTGGCAGCTTGATTTACTATAAAAGTTGTCGATCAGGCCCAGAAATGTATCATTCGCAGATCCAGTTCACTTCTGTAAAGAACTAACAATCAGCACTCCTACCAAAATGGCCTTCAAGGTGAGTCATCTCGACGGGAATCCGGGATCAGCATGGAGAACTAACCATTCTGTCTTTCAGTTCGTCTTCGCTCTCGCCTTCGTTGCCGTGGCTAGCGCTGGCTATGCCCCCATCGCTGCCCCCCAGGTGTACCACGCCGCTCCAGCAGTGGCCACCTACGCCCACGCCCCCGTGGCCGTCGCCCAGAAGGTCGTGGTCAAGGCCGCCGAGGAGTACGATCCCCATCCCCAGTACCGATTCTCCTACGGAGTCGATGACAAGCTGACCGGCGACAACAAGGGACAGGTTGAGGAGCGCGACGGAGATGTGGTCCGCGGAGAGTACTCGCTGATCGACGCCGATGGCTACAAGAGGACCGTCCAGTACACCGCCGACCCCATCAACGGATTCAACGCCGTGGTCAACCGTGAGCCCCTCGTCAAGGCCGTCGCCGTTGCCCCAGTTGTTAAGACCGTCGCCGCTCCCGTTGCCCACTACGCCGCCCCTGTCGCCACCTATGCTGCTCCCTCTGTGGCTCACTACGCCGCCCCAGCCGTTGTGAAGACCGTGGCCCCAGTGGCTCACTACGCCGCCCCTGCTGTGGTCAAGACCGTTGCCCCGATTGCCCACTACGCTGCTCCCGCTGTGGTCAAGACCGTGGCTCCAGTCGCCCAGTACGCCGCCCCCGCTGCCTACGCCACCTACGCTGCTCCCGCCCACTACGCCGCCCCAGCTGCCGCCTATACCTCGTACTCGGCTCCCGCCGTGGCCTACCACCACTAGATCCTGGCTGAAATCGACGTTGTACATAAAATTGTTGGCTTTATTATTACTGTACATTTATTTATTGACAGCACCAATAAAAAAATGCATACAAGTATGTAGACACATAGATATCATGAAAGACAAGAGTGTTTTGAGTTGCCGATTCAGGAGAGGATTCCTGGCAAAGGACTCTCAGAGGTCGTTCACATTGTCCTGTTCTGGTTTGCATTATTTATGTGCTTGTTTTCATAACGAGTTCTTGCTGCTGTTTTTTATGTGCGAAAAAGTTCACAGACTTCATAGGAGCAATCCTCAATCCTCTCCAAAGGACCGCTGCAGTCTTAGAGCAATGCAGTCCATGTGGTGCTTTTGGTGGTGCAGTCTGGACTTTTGTTTCGCGATCCTTTAAGGATGCTGTCAGGGGCAACGAACTGCGTTGGCCTGCTTGATGATTCCAATACCGAAACGGATCCTGATCCCTAACCCTATCCCTATGCCTCTGTCTGTCTGAAGGGGCAGACAAATTCCTGGGCTTTGTGTCGGTCATTTCCATTTGAATGGAAGGACTCGTCTACCGCAACGCAAAGAGAATCCCTTTGTTGTTGATTTTTGTAATATAAAACGGAAATTATGGGGTCATGACTTTACTTGCCGGGTGATAAATGGTCTTACAGCTCATCGGGGGAGCTGAAAATTAAAATTCAGTTTGTTCCTAGCTTAAGGATGCATTTTCCCACAGCTTTTAGAGTTATTTCATGGGGGGCTAGACAGCGCGCACCTGTTGTTTTTATCTAAAGAACGGTTCTGGATTCTCAGCTCAGAATTCTTAAAGGGGTTCTTCAAGGTCAGTCTCTGAGTGTAATCTCAAAAATAGCCAACTGCTTCCTTCGACATCACCCTTTTGCGAAGCCGAAGTCCGACTAATCAAGTGGAAGATTTCTGATTTCGGGTGCTCCTCGTCGTCGATACGCAGCCAAAACCCTTCTCAACTTCACCATCGTCATTATCATCCAGAGAGCAGCGAACAACAATGCAAACTGACAATGCAACCGGACAAAAACAGAAAGCACAAGCCTAAGGAAAACAAAGAGAACAGGGTAAAGATCCAAAAATCCAGAAACAGCCCGATGAAGTGAGTTAAAGGATCGTCGAACCTCAGCAAGGGGCAAACAGGCTTTCGATCGCAGGCTTCGTATAAATAGAGGGCCAGGGCTCCTTGTTGGCTCATTCAGTGTTTTGTGTTGAGTCCAAGAGGTTCAGGACCAGGAGCAGCTTGCGATCGCGCCTTGTGGTCTCTCAGGCCATTTAAACCCATCAAAAACCCAACTTTGGATACCGTTCTTCAGGATTCAGCCTGCTTCCAGCCCACCAAATGCCGAATATATAGAGGTAATTACTTTTGATATAAAGAATTTAAATGTTTCAAATATTTGTCAAAGTGAATACCTTTAAAAGTGTATATAAATTATAATATTAGTTCCTTAATGTGGATAAACCAATTAATAATGTACTAATATTCATAAAAGCACTTATATCATCAATTAAAGTTATAGTAAGAATATCTTATCTCTCTTTTTTCTTGCAGGTTTTACTTCTCTGTATCGGCCTTGCAGCTGCTAACTAAAAATAAACAAACGAAAATGCCCAGGATTTAGTCTCCACATCCGAAATCCACATCTAGTTGTTAAAGATGACAACCCGGATCCGTCCAAGAACCAACAGCTAGGGCTCTATCTGGGCGTGCACCTGGCCAGAACACCTATTGGCACTCATCACGGAACATTGAATCGCTGGAAGGCCGCACAACACCGCACATCAGCCATCCACCACCCATCCATCCATCACCCACCAAACGTTGTCTCGGCCCTTTGGACAAAATTTACATTTGAGTTTAAGTTTAGGTGTAAACAATAAACAAAAAACAACAATAGGCTACCAAAAAAAAGCGAAAAAATCCAATCAAGTGGTTGTTTTTTATGGGCTTATATCTTCTGGTTGGATATTGATATTGAATTGATCCGATTTTGGGTGCGATGAACAAGAATATCCCCTGCTTAGGCAAACGGCAAACAGTTTATTGAACTCTTTAATAAGATTCTAGATATTTCAGTTACTTACGACATGTTTTATACCTAACAAGTGATAAGTAACTACCTATGGAAACTTTCTGATATTTGAAACAGCTCCTGTTCTGGTAGGACCTCATATGGGATCCTTGGGAATCTGATCATTTAAATTATTATAAGCGATCAATCCCCGACACACCCATAGCTAATACTTCGTTCGTCACCCTCGTTGACTTTTACTTTGCACTGGGATCTTAAAAACTGCTAAACGAATGTACAGAAATATTTCGTTATTATCTTACAAGAAAGGCCGCAGTGCGAACAATAACTTATGTGTATCAAGGTCAGGCCCGGACAGCAAAGCCTATAAACTATATGTGAGCCGATTGCCACCAGATATCCAGCAAAGAGTCAGCAGATTTCAAAGGTGGACGCACAGGTGCTGCTGCTGCTGATGGAGTGCTGCTAGAGTGGCTACTAGCTACTGCCAAAATTGAGACATGAAGAAAATGGTAAGTGAACTGGTTTCTGTGCAAGTTTAATTGGCATTATTCGAGTCGCCGGCTGGACAGCGTTTACTTCGCACTGTAATCCCCATAAACTATTTCCAGCTTAGCCCTTGGTAAATTGCGCTCGCCGATGATTAAGCCAAACAAATGCCCAAGTGCTCGAGTGGTCGAGTGTTTCCCTCGGAAATTAAGCAAACTAAATTGTAATTAACAGACATTTTTTCAACAGTTGTCCAATAGAGACAATGTCTTCGAGTTAGCCGGCCGTTGACGGTCAGTGGGCTACTGAAGTGATTACTTTTATTATTTTCAATACAAATTCGTTCCGTTGGAATTTTTTAATTCGGCGACACAGCATTGACCTCCCGGTTGGAGTCGTGCTGCCTGGTCAGGGGTGTTTAGCTAGGCGGAGTGGTCTGCTAATTAAATTAAGCCAACCTGACGGCACTCCCTCTTCACTTCTTCGGTGTATGGTCTAGCCCATCCTTCGGGGATTTGGATGAATTCTGCTGCGGGCATTTTCCAACATTATTTGGGTTTTAGCCGGCACTCGACATCGACACCAGGACACCCGGACACCCGGACACCCGGACATCCAAACAGCTCAACCAATTTCCAGCAAACACTCGGCACGGTGATCAATCTTAAATTTTCACCGCTTCTGTCAGAAATGTGCGTAGTCGACGACATGGGACGACATAGGCATCATGTGGCTTAGTTGTCCTGGTCCAGCACCTCTCTCCCAAATACCTTAAAACGTTGACAGGCAAAACCCAAAATGCTGGTTGACGAATGAGGCTGAGCCGAGTGAGTTTCCCCAGGGGGAAAGCTGCGAAAATGCCTTCTGCCAGCAGCCTAAAAACTCTTCTAAATTAACCATGAATGGCGGCACTTTTCCTAATAAAATAAAATATGTTGCTGCTTCACAGTTATAAATATTGAAGATCTCTTTTGTGCAAAGGATTTGAATAGCTTGCCAAATCTTTAGCAATTCCGTTTACACCTCACCAACCGTGATAACATTTTTAACTACAGAAGATGTAAAAAATATGTGGTATTTCAGATTAATTCGAAATCTTAAATAAACTGAGATGACAGGTTACTAGCTTTAAACCATGAATAAAAAATATATAAAATATTTTGTGAATATAAGTAAGCTCCCATTTAGTAGTTTATTCTAATGTAATATGATTAGATACTTTTCTCTAAGCTTTAATTTCGAATATTTATTTATTTATTTATCTAAGGCTAACAATTAGTTAAAACTAAGAGCTAACAATTGGCTAGGAGCAGTAGCAGCTAGGGCCTTCAGCTCGGCTTAGGTTAGAATATGGCTTGCGAATGTTTGACTTATAAGTATATACAAAATATTACTAAGGATTACTATTTACATTTTATTTACAGAGATTTTATTTATTTAGATTTGGGAGGTGATATGGGAGTAGTTTAGGAATTTGAGGATGTTTAGGGAGTTTGTGTCTGTGGGGTTAGCTATAGTGGTAATTGGATCAGGGTTATTGAGGAATAAGGATCTTTGCGTGGAAAGGGAGGGGCAGGAGCAAATAATGTGGTGGATGTCAATCTGGGAGATGTTGCATAATGGGCACACGTTGTTCCTTGTTCTGTCGAGGTAGTGGGCGTTTGTTAAGAATGAGTGTCCAAGTCTAATTTCTATTATATATATCATAAGTGTATTAGAAAATAGTCTCACAAAACGGGAGTCTTGGCTAAACTTGGCTTCTAAACTATTTACAAAGAGTTTGTCCCAAAATCGTTAATCTGCAATACCCGTATGTACTACACAAGATAAAAGCAAATATAAATTAATTTTAAAGCCCTCTCTAGCTGACAAAACACAATTTTATGCTTTAATAGTCTTTTTTAATTTCAATACTTATTAGTAAGTTTAGATGTGTTCAGATTCAAATATGCTTAATACTCGACTGACTATGACTATATATATCTATAAATCTATAAATTTATTTTAGATCCTTCCAATGTTTGTTTTTAATATGAGAAAATAAAGTAAAGGAAAGTTTTATACATACGAGTATAAAATAAGTATCAAAAACTTTTTGATCTCCTTTAATGTTATTAATACATACAACTATTGAAGCGTTTGAAGGGGGCATATACAAACATTTCCTGATATTTATTAAATAAGTTCGAAATACTATTCATATTGGGGTAATATATTATTTGCCTAAAGGGAAACCTAATAAGAAGTTAATCAACCATCGTCGCTCTTGAATTATGCTTACTCGGTAAACCTTCTCAATCAATAAAATCCGACTAACTAAACAAATATCCCCAAAAATGTAAATCCATTAAAAGCCTGTAACATCCGACTAAATTGTTACAAATTGTTAAGGGCTTGTGACTTGGCACGTAGACAGTTGGCTTCCGGTTGTTATTTCATTTTGTATCTAACGGATCTAAGTTACCGGCTTTCCATTCCCTATTTAGCGGCTATTCCATTCGCATTCCTACGATGACTTGGTGGAATAGAAGTGAACAGGAACTGGTTTGACTCGCGGCCAGACGCACGTCAGACGAGATTTGGATCGTTCTTATGATCTGCGGACTCATTGTTTGGTTGTCGGGTAATAAGCTCGGACCTTTTGCACAACAAGGGGGAGTAGCAAATTTGTTAATTAAAACGTCTGATTGAAAGTGAAATGAGAATAAACTAAAGTTGATTGCTGTGAATTGAAATCAAAAATGAGAGGCGCTTTGAATTGGCCTTAAGCGGTCATTGATTCCTGGAGCTGTTTTTAAGACATTATTTAGTTCGTGGAAGTAGTTAAATAAGTAAGTTCTGACTTTGGGTATTAAATAGCAAGATAAACTCTGGGTAAATAACCTTTATTTCTTTTAGTTACAACATTCTATTAATCCATGACAAAATTAGCTAACAAAATGTTTAATTTACCTTGAGCAGTCACTGTTTTTTCCTATTAATTCTTAAGATATAATACAGTACACACTAATGTGCTATTAAAATACAACTTTTTCATGAGCAACACACCTTTATTGGCTTTTTGTTTTGATATTTCTACTACTTTCATTACTGTGACGACGACCTTCAAATGAAATTCTTTCGCTGGTAGCCCCCACGCTATATTTATTACATCACTCAACCGCCTGGTTGAGTCACTTTCCCGCCCAATCCGACTGCGACCATGATTGAGCACTTACCAATGCCACAATTATAGCTGTAAAGCTGAGAGCGGAAAGCTTCAACCTGAAAGCTCAAACGTTGCTTGTCCATTTATCCGGGTGGGGTGATCAGGCATCTTTTTTGGGTCATTTACCATGGGGAGGATGGAAGAGGAGGTGTGTCTCTGGCGGTATTTCTCTATTTTTTGTTAGTGAGTGTGTGCGCTTGTGTCAAGTGCAATGCTGTTCATCGATCAAGCGGCGATTTATTGGGTTACTTACATGACTTGAGTGTGCCCCAAAACTATGAACCCCCCAATCCCCCGATCATTGAAGCTGTGATCCGCGGCGAGTTGCTCGCTTAAGTCTTTTGTTTGTAACGACTTTGGCCGCTTTGTCCGCTTACTGGCCGTCCGTCTCCCATTCATAACAATAGCGAAATGGGTGTGACTCGTGGGTGCAAATCTTTTTGGGTAAATCTACCGATCGAGGAGAGGGAGGCATGCAAATGAATTACGATCGAAGTGATTTCTGTAAGCCAGCTAGTGAAAAAGTGAAAGAAAGGTCGGTGGAGAGACAATGGGCCAGAGATGTATGGCCAACGGAAATTTCGTCTATAAATACAAATGCAGCGACGGTTCAATTATTATTCAAACCACGCACTCCACAGAAGGAGGACAAAGTCTCGCTTCTTTCGCTCACCAATTTGCCCATCAACCTCAAACGCTCGCCAAATGGCTTTCAAGGTAAACCTAGGCTGATGTAATCCCCACCTTGGCAACAGGCTAAAATATCTGCTTCTGAATTTCCAGCTCATTGCTCTGGTTTCCTGCTGCCTGGCAGCTGTGTCCGCGGGACTGATCCCTGTGGAGCAACACGAACAGCAGCCCCAGCTGTACCAGGCCCACCAGCCGCAGCATGTGATCTACCAGAAGCAGCACGAGATCCATCCCCATGGCCACGAGGTGTACCCCGATGATCCTCATCCCAAGTACAACTTCGCCTACGACGTGCAGGATGCTCTGTCCGGAGACTCGAAGAGCCAGGTGGAGTCCAGGGATGGTGATGTGGTGCAGGGCGAGTACTCCCTGGATGATGCCGATGGTTTCCGCCGCACAGTGAAGTACACTGCTGACTCCGTCAACGGTTTCAATGCCGTGGTGCACCGCGAACCCCTGGCCCATGTGCACCACAAGGTTGTGGCTGCTGCTCCGGCTGTGCCTGTTCAGTACCACCACGCCCCAGCCACTCCTGTGATCAAGAGCTATGCTGCCCCTGCTCCCACCTACGTGGCCCCCACCTACGCTGCTCCTGCCTACACCGCCCCTGCTTACACTGCACCTGCCTACACCACCCACCAGGCTGAACAGCCCCAGGAGCAGGACCACCAGCAGCACCACTACGCCAGCTACGAGTCTCCCGCCCACTCTCAGGCCGCCCACGAGGGTCATGAGTACTACCACCACCAGTAAGGGGTTTCTGGCCACAGATCACCTGACAAGCGAAAGTATTATCCCGCATGCATCCCATTACGTGAACTCATTTAGCCCATTAACCTAGTTCCGTTGATTAGTTTTAACCTCAATGTAAATACTTGCAATAAAACTATCGAATATCTATATAAACATGACTTGTTGAGAGGTATTTATAGGAACTTATTTTGTTATTTAACAATTTGTTATCTTTGTAAAAGGTCCTCGCATGAAACATTCCTTCAAAATCATAGATGCAGAAAGATGTTAAACGTTCAGAATCTCTAAAGGTCTTCTCAAAGCAGCTTTCTTGTATAAAACTTTTTAAAATTTAAGTTTAACATAGGCAGCAGATGCATTTGGTATCACTTTCTTTTATTATTAATCCTTTTATGGAGATTTATCATTTCAAAACAAAAATCTGATTACAGTTCAGTTTCCTTCTCTTTTCCAATAAGTTTTACCAGAAAGCCCTCGTGGCTTAGCCAGTGGAATTTCAAGGTCAAATCAATGCCAAACCATTAAAAGACGCAAGTAATCGAATTAATGATTCGCATTATTCCATACAAAAGTCCCCTAAGCCAGCCTGATTTGGAATGTTTTCAAATCGCCTCGTGTTCTCGTGAGATTACACACTCAATGTCCATCTAAGGCGATCTTACGGATTACTGTGATTTGGCGGATAAAAAGTGCGTACAAAGAGAACAAATGGCACTAATTTTATGAAGCGTGAGATTTACATTTTAAGCACTTGGCTAGTGTTTCCCGATTGGTCATGATTAGCGTTAGCAATGCCCGTGCTCGATTTTCGCACTTCAATGGTTTATGGAGAGGGGTAAATCGAGACCGGTTTTCTGGCTTGCCAAAATATCCGGTAGCAACAATCGCACTTTTTGCAATTTTAATGTCGCACACAAATTGAATCTCAAATTACTTGGGACATATCTGCTGGTATCAAGTCCGGCAACTACACATATAGATACCTTATACTCGTATACAGGCTCTGACGCTGACTCGGGCCCGAAATATGTGTGTCCAATTGCCGGCCAAGAAATAATTTGCTCCACATTTCCCACACAAAGGTCTAACGCAACCACATTAGCCAGACCTCTTGGCCTTTCGCTCCTCTTTGTTGGCCAGCTGGGCTGTTGGTCGTTCGGGGCTTGGCTTTGGCAACGGTTGGGGCTGCGGCTGAGGCTGAGTGCTGGCACTGAGGGGATAATAATCGACAGCCTCGGCACTGGCCATTGCCCACCTTGAATCCCATTAAAATCATCTATCGAATTGAACTATCAAAGCATGATGCCTTTTTAAAAATAGACCAGATTAAGGTTTAAAAAACTCCATTTAAGGAAAATTAACCCTTTAAGGTAACAGTTTTTTCGCTATTTCATAACCTTATGAAATCACATTACGCTGATGTACGAGAATTTCCAAGTGTCTAAGTAATTACTGAAAAATTGAACTTAGATTGCATTATTTAATTTTAAGTGTTGATGATGAAATTTATGATTTTATTTCTCAATTTTTTTTATGGTTTTACACAGCAAGTAAATGCCACGTTTTGAATTCACTTTTTCTTAATGAAAAAATTTCACAAGACTATATAATATAGTTTGTTGTCTATAAAAATATTTGACCTACTTACTTTGAAGAATAATTTTACAGTATAAATATTCCCATTCTTTATTAATAGAAAATATTTTAGGGTATTTCACACACCTACTGGATTCAAAGGAAGACCGATTGTGGAAACCAACAAAATCAAAAGACTTAAGCGAGCAACCTTTTGTTGTTACATTTTTGTGATTTCCTTTTTTTACTTCCCTCGTAACATATCTAATCTTATTATTTTTAAACTATTTTGGCAACCATTGGCTGGTTTTCGCCCATTGCTTAGCAGGCAATTTTATGGCACAGTTAAGTGCTTAATCATGGCCAAAAACAAAATGGGTCGTAAACTTATTTATCTCTCAAGCAATTAATGTTATAAAATAATCCAAACGGGCTGGTATCCTAAAAGTCATGCTAATATGGCAAAATATATTATATATTTATAAAAATAAAGTTAATTTATAATATTAAAAAAGGAAATGCATCATCTATTGGGAGAAATTGAGCTCACAACAGAGTCAAATTACTTTAAGTAATGTCCTTTAAGAAAAACCACATATATATATATAGGAATCAGTTTTTTGATTAAATTTTTAAACTTTAGTTTAGGCCACTGAAATCTGTTTTAAGAAAATGAAATAAAAAATCTTTTTTTTATGTATATACGTATGTGTGTGTATTTCTAGGAAACATTCATTAAACTAAAACAAAGAGGGGTTGGCGGTTTTTAGAGGTCCTTAGTGGTGGTAGGCCACAGCGGGGGCGGCGTAGGAGGTGTAGGTGGCAGCTGGGGCGGCATAGTGGGCCACGGGAGCCACGGTCTTAACGACAGCGGGAGCAGCGTAGTGGGCAACTGGGGCAATGGTCTTGACCACAGCAGGGGCAGCATAGTGAGCCACTGGAGCGACGGTCTTCACAACGGCAGGGGCGGCGTAGTGAGCGACAGCGGGGGCGGCGTAGTGGGCAACGGGAGCGGCGACGGTCTTAACAACTGGGGCAACGGCGACGGCCTTGACGAGGGGCTCACGGTTGACCACGGCGTTGAATCCGTTGATGGGGTCGGCGGTGTACTGGACGGTCCTCTTGAAGCCATCAGAATCGATCAGGGAGTACTCTCCGCGGACCACATCTCCGTCGCGCTCCTCCACCTGGCTCTTGGAGTCACCGGAGAGGGCATCCTGTACATCGTAGGCGTACTTGTACTGGGGATGGGGATCGTACTCCTCGGCGGCCTTGGCCAGAACGGGCTGGGCATGGGCGACGGCCACTGGAGCGTGGGCGTAGGTAGCCACGGCGGGGGCGGCGTGGTACACCTGCTGGACGGGAAGAACACCGGCGCTGGCGGCGGCGATCAGGGCGAAGAGGGTGACGAACTGCAAGAGGGATATTAGACATTAGGATCTAAGGTCTTAGATGGGGCTAAATCCTCGGGGCCAACCTTGAATGCCATGTTAAGAGGTTTGGTGGCTGCTGCTGCTGCTGTTGGTTGCTGAAAGGCGAAGTGAACTGTGAGGGCTATTGGGCCAACCCGCGGTTTATATACAGAGATGGAGCGATTTCTTGAGCTGCTGCTGCTGCTGCTGCTGTCTTTGAATGTTCGGCGTTGCTTTTGCCGGCTGGCCACGCTCTTGGCGTAATTAGTGCAATTCATTTATGCTAAACGTGTGTGGAGAGGGGAAAAGTGTAGCATTGAGGCCGTGCTCAATCTTTGTATCTTTGTATTTTGTCATCAAAACAAATTCAATTTATCAAAGATATGAAAAGCGTGCGCTTTGACACTAACATTGGCCGAAAGCAGTTGTTCCACGAAACAGTTAATGAACTAATAAGTAAGTTAGTTAAGTTGGTTAAAAAGGAATTAAGATGAACTTTGGAATGTGTGTTATCTTTTAAATAGGGTTTTAAGGTTTCTAGCATGGATGAAGTACGTTCGGGCTTATTTTTTGTTTAAATAATTATTTCATTATATTGCTTAATAATAATAAGCTACGTTATGAGATTTTCAGATAATTAATAATAAAGCAACGTGATAACTTTGAAAATGACTACGTAAATAGCAGACTGTAAAACATTTATGCTATCCTAACCATCTTAATCAGATTAATCAACTTATCTTATTCGGAAGATTAAGCTAAAGCTCACTAACTTATCTTCCTTAGAATCGTTATGCAAGATTGTTATATATAGTAAATGTGATAACCAATAAAGTTGAAGATAACACGGATTAGAGTAAGCCCTGAACATATTAATTATTGCATCGAACAAAAAAGTAAAATCCTCGGCTAATAAAATACATATGGCTTCTAGGAAAATGGTAATTAAAATTGATTTTGCGTAATTACCGGAAGTGCAGGTGGGTATTTCAGTCGAACACTTTCAAATTGGCAGAACCGAAGAAGGTGCGTGACAATTTTTACAAGCCACCGGCGACGTTCGAGGTGATGAGCCAAAAATGAATTCCAATTAGGTGTCATCAATGTCACCAAGTGGCGTATAAAATCCATTGTCCAGCACTGGGTCAGACATTCAGTGTTTGGCTTTAGCCCAAGACAGCAGCAGTAAATCAAAATCATCCAACCAACAATGGCAGCAAAGGTTTGTATGACCAGTTGGAGGATTACGACTCCCAAGGATTACCAGTGCATAACCAAAACCAAGATATAGTTATATTGGAAAAGACCCTTAAGATGTGCTTAACCTACCCCATAGATTGTTATCGCTTTGGCTCTGTTCGCCGTGGCCCATGGCGCCATCCTGCGGACTGCTGCTCCTGTGGCTGTGGCTCCTGCTCCCGTGCCTGTGTTGGCCAAGACCGTTGAGCTTGAGGAGGTTGACCCGCATCCCCAGTATTCGTACAGTTACGACGTTCAGGACACTCTCTCTGGCGACAACAAGGGACACGTGGAGGAGCGTGATGGAGATATCGTCCGCGGAGAGTACTCCCTGATCGATGCCGATGGCTTCAAGCGTACCGTGACCTACACCGCCGATCCCGTCAACGGATTCAACGCAGTCGTCCGCCGTGAGCCCCTCGCCGCCGTTGTTGCCGCTGAGCCGGTGGTGAAGGTTGCCGCTCCCCTGGTCAAGGCCGCCGCTCCTATCGCCCTGGCTGCCCCAGCTCCCATTGTCCGCTCTGCCCCCGTGGCCGTCGCTGCTCCTCTGATCAAGTCCGCTCCCCTGGCAGTTGCTACTCCCTTCGTCCGCTCCGCCCCTCTGGCAGTAGCTGCTCCCGCTCCAGTCCTCCGTACCGCTGCTTATGCCGCGCCCCTGCGGTACACCGCCCCCGCATACACCGTTGCCAACTTGTAAATAGCCAAGATGCGACCCTTGCTAATCCAATCTGTTGTTTTGTTTCTATGATAATAAAATGTGATTTGTTATGTTAATTTTTATTGTGTTTTGATTTTGGCAAGAACTTTGTTTTAACTTATTTACAGAGAGACAAAGAGGGTTTAAACCATATTTGGAAATGAAAACTTGATTAATACACATTTTTACTACTACTGCGATAGATAGTGAACTGCTTTCACGGCATCTGGCAACGCCGAACCAAAATAATCGATAATGTAAAGCCCTTGATGTTACATCTATGTTAGGCTGTAAGCCCGGATGCTAAATCATTATCTTTTTAGTATGATACTCTAGGGAAGCGGACTTAAAGTAAGATGATCCTATAACCTAAGCATGAATTGTTAAATTGTATCTTATTATAAAAAATATTCTTAGGAAAGAAATTAAATGTGCTTGTGAAATTCCAGCGCTACTCCAATTCAAAGATCCGAAACAGCTATTATTTATTTATTACACCTTCTACTTGTATATTTAAAGGGTTTTAAGTATTCGTTGAAAATTATGTAACAGGAAGCGTTTCCGACACGATAAAGTGTATATATATTTTATTGATCAGGATCAATAGCAATAACATACATACATAATTCGCTCATGCCACTCTATAACCCATAAACTGCCAAAAACCGTGACGTCCATATCAAAGTTTATGGTTTTTGGCTTGACCTTGTTTAACATCTTTTTATCAATGCCTGTCAATTTACCAAAATGGGTTCTAGTCAGAACATTATTAGAACAATTTATTAAGTAATGTTTGCTATAACGCCTCACACGGTCAGTTATTCCATTTTTATTTATGTTATAACTTATTTTTTAGAAGTATTTATAATGCACCTTAGTGGTCAAACAAACTTTAAATATGAAAAAATACTTTCTAGCATTACCAAGCGAATTCGTGTATTAGAAAGAACAACCATTGGTTACAAAAAGAATCAATTTATTATCATGATGTTGAGTTCTTGAGAGTCTTACTCTTTCTAAAAAGTCATCAGTGTAGGTCAGTTCCACGCCCTCTCAGATATAAAGCTCTCCGGTTTCCCAGGCAAAAGTTAGAGCCGGTAACATGATATACCACTCAAGGCAGAATAGTGAAAGTGACTGATTCGCGAATAGCCCGCGGAGGTCTGTGCCTCGAAAGAAACCGAAATCCGAGGGTCTCTCCTATGACACTAAGCCGGACCAGATTTGCATGTCTCTGGAGATTGCATAAATGTGTCTTTGGCCCACGGCGTGGGCAGTTTTAATTGCCCCTTTTCCAGTCTGTAAATTATTAAGGTAAATAGCTGGGCAATAATACAATTATAAATATAAAAAATGTATGAAAAGTGACAAAAATTATTTGGCCAGCAGCGAACTAATCAATTTCAATTCGTTATTCGCGTTTTGCTTTTTACACTTTTTCAGTGGGTATAAAAAGCAGTGCCCGTGGTCCAGTAAATCATTCCACATCTTCACTGTCTTCGCAGCAGTTAACGGATAACCAACCAGCCCACTACCAAACCCAGAGCCATGGCCTTCAAGGTGAGCGATCCTGACCAGGACATCCCTTTCTTCCTAGTACTAAACTTTTTCCTCCCTCAGTTCTTTGCTGTTCTTGCCCTCATCTCGGCTGCCAGTGCCGGAGTCCTGCCCGTCCAACAGGTGTACCACGCCGCCCCCGCCGTGGCCACCTACGCCCACGCTCCAGTGGCCGTCGCTCATGCCCAGCCCGTTCTGGCCAAGGCCGCCGAGGAGTACGACCCCCATCCCCAGTACAAGTACGCCTACGATGTCCAAGATGCCCTCTCCGGGGACTCCAAGAGCCAGGTGGAGGAGCGTGATGGAGATGTGGTCCGCGGCGAGTACTCCCTGATCGACGCCGATGGCTTCAAGCGCATTGTTCAGTACACCTCCGACCCGGTCAACGGATTCAACGCCGTCGTCAACCGCGTGCCCCTGGATCATGTCAAGACCGTGGTGAAGACCGTGGCTCCTGTGGCTCTGCCCGTTGCTGCTGCCCCAATCCCAGTGGCCTACCATCAGCACCACTAAGGTGAGAGATTCTCTGATCTGTGGAATCTTTTGTGGATCAATAAATTGTTGAATATTTGTAAGCTCATTGAAAGCGGAATGTGTTTTTGTGGGGTGAAGTGCTTTAATATAGACATTAATCATTCTAACCTTGGAGTTACAACGCATTAAACTCCACTTAACAGAGGGGAGTTACCCTAATCCCACCCAATAACCGTCGTTGGATGTGATTATTTTGCATCACCTTGGCTCTTCTTAAAGCCCTCTCAACCGCATGCACTTTGTAATCAATTTTCTGGCAGTAATAAGTCATTAAGGGCCCAAATTGATCAGGCGTTCGCGTTCGACCCATTTTACACCAATCAACCAAAATTGGGTAGACGGTAGACATCCGATCGGAAAGAAAATGCATCGACATCGATCGGAACATATCAATAAGACCATCTGCGTCGAAGGCTTATTGAATTTAATGCATGTAATGCGGACCGCTCTTGAAACCAGTTAAGGTCAGTTGCGTGGAGCTGCAGCCAGAAACCTTTCGCCAACTCTTTCGGGCCTGCAGGAGAATGATTTACGCGACATTATTGGGGCCCGAATCGTTTCCCTTATCTGACCAACCGCCTTTCCAACGCGGACAAGTGCAAATATGCCAAGGTGCCTTAAAGAGGACAGAGGTGGACAGGTGGACAGTGGACAGTGGGCAGCGGACGGCGAGGGTTAAGGTCAAAGTCAGTTGGCATTGTTAATTACCGTTGGAGCGAACGGACTTGGCTGGCCATTTCCATTTCCATTCCCATGTTTAGCATGTAAGTACATCGGCCCGCAAGATCCACGCCAGCAGTTCAGATTTTAATGCCAATGCGCATGCGCAACTCGCGGCGAGGCCCATAAAGTTAACCAGGCGAATTACAACAATGCTCGTGTCGCATTGAAAACCAGACCAGAGTCAAAGCCCAGTTAACACACCGGCTCCATGAATGAGTAAACGGCTTTTGGGGGCTTCCCTCTTTCAATTTATATTCGCTGCTACTATTTTATGGACCTTACATACTCGCCTGCTGTAATCGCTTCTGGCATTGCCATTGCTGTTTTCTGCGTTCTTGGACGTGTTGGACTGCGGTCTTGTTGTCTTGATGTCTGCTGTCTTACTGGCCAATTATGCGACATTGTTTCATTGCGGCTTTTTGTGACAGTAAGTGCTGTTTTGTCAGTAGCTGACAGTAGCTTAAGCATTCTTTCTTTTGGGCCGGCCTTGAGTGTGGTCGTGGGAGAGTGAAAGTGACCAGCACTTTCGGTTTTAACAAACGAGAATGGAATTAAAAGAGGATTTTTATCTATTTATAAGACGTTAAGAAGTTAAAATGCTTCCTGGAAAGAAAGAGCGATTACGGGCCAGAAAAGTGCTAGCTTACGGTCTCACCATTGTTTAAGGTTACCCACTTCCTTAGTACTTAGTAACTAATGCTCTGTCCTCATCAGTACCAGTTACCTAATGTTTCATCTTGCTATATATAATATATATTGCCTGACCATGTGAGTTCATGGTTTTAGGATGGTGTAATTACATGTTATATCGTAACCTAATAATAACAATAATATTATTTGCTAAGTTAAGTACAATTAATTTCTTTCATTTTGCTTGTTTCTAATTTTGCTGTTTCTTGGAATTGAAGGATTTTTCAATGTTACTGGGTTGAGGTCTCTGAGAAGGTCTAGCGAGTTGGAGTTCTTGAAGATGGCCTGCTTGACCTGAAGAAGAGGTGTATTTAAGTATTATAATCATCTAAGGCATACAAAAAACAACTAAAAATGTTTAAAATATCTTGAATAATATCTAAATAAAAATATTAAAATACATATATTGTACTCATTCTCACAAAATTAGTTTTGTTAAACGGTTTTCTAGCAGATTAAACTGTTTTATTTATTATTTATTAATTTTTTTATTTAAAATAACTATTAAAATGTTCAATGAACTGGTTAAAATCATCTAATTGTTTTTTTTACCAAATAGAAAAAAGTTGTACTGAATAATATCTTAAGGTCTTTTCAACGGAGACATTGACCAGTATTCGGTTGAGGACATATGCTGATCAGAATTTTAATGAACAAAAATTGTTGTTGAACTTGTGAAGAGCATAAAATTAGCTTTTGGTTTAAGTCTTTTACTTTGTATTTGGTTATTCTGGCTTAAATGTATAGCTAAACCTTTGCATCTGTATAAACATTTCATAAAGCTTAGATCTCCCCAACAATAAAAACCAACTTGATGTCCATTCAATTAGATCACATCCTTTTATTCAATAACAACTAACGGCAATTATCGGGTCGTGGTCACCTATTCCTCAGCTTCTTAATAGGCGTACGAGATAAGAGGCGAAGCGAACTGGGTCTTGACGATGGCGGGTCCAGCGGCGACCAGAGGAGCGGCCTTAACGACGGGCGCAGGGGCGGCGTAAGCGAGGGGAGCTGGGGCAGCGGCGTAAGCCAGAGGAGCTGGGGCAGCAGCATAGGCGGCGGTCAAGGGGGCGGCACGGACAACTGGGGCAGCAACGGCGGCACGTACAACGGGAGCGGGAGCGGCCACGACGGCAGCAGGGGCGGCAGCAACGGCGGCAACCAGGGGCTCACGGCGCACCACTGCGTTGAATCCGTTGATGGGATCGGCGGTGTAGTCCACAATGCGACGGTAGCCATCGGCGTCGTTCAGCGAGTACTGGCCCTGGACAATGTCGCCCTCACGAGTCTCCACCTGAGTCTTCGAGTCGCCGGAGATGGCGTCCTTGACATCATAGCCGTAGGTGTACTGGGGATGGGGGTCGTACTCCTCCACCTGGGCCACGGCGGCCAGAGGAGCGGCAGCGGGGATGATGCCAGCGCTGGCCACGGCGATGCAGGCGGCGAAAAGAAGGGTGAACTGCAATGGTTCGAAAGATATTGTCTGATTAAATTGGAGTTCTAAAACTTCTTATTCTCTGCTTATTAACACTTTGATATCACTTTTATGATCACTTTAGAACTTGATCCTTACTTTGAATGCCATTTTTGGTTGCTTGGGTTGGGTTGGGTTGCTCTAGATACCGAAATTGGTGGTGAACTGATTTGAACAGCGTCCAACTGGGGCTTTTATACCGCCTCGATGGCACTCTGCCCGGGCTCGATGTCAGCGGCGTGCACTTGCGTCACAACACAACGTCGACCATATCAAAATGCGAGACGCTCAAGACTAGAAGCGGTTGTTGTTGTTGCTGGAGTGGTAAGGAAGAGCGGAGAGGGGGTGAAGACATAAGGTAGGAGGGCGGTGGGCGGCACGCTGCCAAGGCTGAGCGGTGACAAAGCAGCGGCGAGCATAATGCCTTCTTGATTGAATTGGACTTGAGCGGCCAGCTTGGCCGAATTAATATTGGCCTCAGAAGTCGCATACCCGAACGTGCACTTTGGGTACCCCTGGCCCAGGAATCTCCCCTACCCCCTCCCCACAAATCGATCCAATAATAATGATGATCGGCTGGCATTTGTTGGCGCTTTCGAAAAGTACCCGCTCGCTAATAGCAACCATATCGTATGCAGCGCATGCGCAAATGCATAACAACGGTTTTTCAAATTGCCTCTGCACTTGCAGGCAGCTCACCCATACCGATTTCCGAGTCCGATTCCAATCCCCTCCCTATTCTTCTCTTATGGGCAGCAGCTTTGAGTCTGGCCAGTGAGTAACCCCACCCCCGACGCACGACCTTAAACGTTTATTTTCGGTGGCCGTCGCTCCAGTTGAACGCTAATTGGATTTCAGGCTTAACTTTAGTGCGACACCTCACTTCCGAGTGCCCACCCAAAAGATGGAGAATAGAGCAGTGATTGCGGATGTTTTGGCGGAGTTCTTGGTTGTGACAATTGAGCTATGGAATGGGCATGACATGGCTTATTACGTTCTTACATGTTACTCTGCATGGTTATTTCGGTTATTCTTTAAAGAAATTCCGCATTTGTTGTGTTCAAATGAGGTACAAGAAAAAATTAACAAGGCGGTATTGGAATCATAAATAAGTTGTTCGACTGCATTTAATATGATAACGTAGATATATAGAAGAAGATATATCAAGTGTAATAATTTTGTCTTTAAGTGAAATGATAAAAAGAAAGTTAAATGATGGAATAACCTTCTCTGGGGTAAAAGCTATATCGTATGCTATAGATAGAAGGTAACCTCCCAAATGCTTTAATGTAAGAGGTATATATACTCGTACATACTCTTCCAAAAACATGCGACTATCTAATATTTCGTTAAACGTATTAAGAAGTAAGCGTAGTAAGAAGAGATAATACCATTATAATTTTATCTACGACCTTTTAAATTCCGGGAACTGATCCTAACCGCTGATACCTATTTCCTGGACTTAATCTTTAAATATTAAACAGATTAACTAAAAAAGATGAATTAATACTTGTCAATCTGTTGAATCCCAAGTTCAGTTCTTCCCGTTTTTAAAACTAAGAATAGATAGGACATTGAATTAAAAGTAATTTATTCAGACATAGTTAAGTCATTAATAAGTCGCCGTTCTTAGAAAACATAAGAAATGGCATGTGGATGATGAGTGTGGTGCAAGGAGGTCTTCAGCAACGGAACGTGGTGGGAAACATATGAGTGCGCTGGAGCTGCGTGGTGCACCACATGGGTGACGGGAGCATGGTGGATCACCGGAGCATAGGATCGATGGACCACAGCAGATGCCTGGGATAGAGGCTTCAGAGGTGGCAACTTCTTCAGAGGCTGGAACTGAACTTTAGGAGCCACAATGGCAGTCTTTGGCTGCACAATCACCGCAGCACTAGAGAGTGGTTCACGACGCACCACCGCGTTGAAGCCACTGACATCGTCGGCGGTGTAATCCACAGTTCGTCTATAGCCATCGGCGTCGTTAACAGAGTACTGACCACGGACCACATCACCGTCCCGAGATTCCGATTGGGACTTTACATCTCCAGTCTCGGCATCCTGAACATCATAGTTGAAGGAGTAGTGTGGATGGGCTTCATAGGTGTCGTCACTTCCGGATGTTTTCGTGGGCAGTAAGCCTGCTTGAGCCAGACTGATCAGGGCCACAAACAATACAATCTGTAAGTGGTCAAAGGATCAGATTTAATTTAAGACATAATCCTCTTTAAAGCTTACTTTGTACAGCATTATGTAGGATATTTGTGAGTAGGTAGGCTTAGGTTTGCTCCTGTCGATAGCTGATTTTACACAAGTTAACTTCGGCCTGGTCATCGGCTTTTATAGGCGACTGAGAGCCTGTTGACCCAATGCCACAGTGCCCTGCATCTGCCTCGGCATCTGGATCTCAACAAGGTCATCGCGGGGACCTCCAGTCCGGTCTCTTTCTAGACCGCCTAATTGGCGCTGAGATGCCCCAACAAGTTTATCAGCCAATCGACAGGTTTTCAGATCGTTTTTTACTCACATACGAGATATGGGCTCCTTCCATAATTTCACGTAGTCATGCCGAGCTTAAGCTTGTTCAATTATAATGCATATTTAATTGATTTGGTATTAAGAATAATAAGAAATACTTCAATGTGAGGATTCTTGTTAAATTAAAGTTATGAACAGCATAGCCAGAAAGAGGTTGATCAAAACCAAATTATATCATTCATACAGTAATTTCACTTCTTACGGTTTGTGCATTTAATATTCTTCATCTTTAAGAGTTCTTCAGAAATGTTTAATATATTGAATATGTAGAATGTTGAATATATTGTTGGTTAGTTGTTCTTTAGCACTGCCTTTAAATTTTAAATTTTAATTTCTTGTCGTCTGCATTGTTGACGGTTTTTCTGTTAAGAATTGTAAATAATATATTTTTAATCAGACAATACACCTAGGGGCAGAAATACATTTATATGAACTTAAAGTCATGCAGAGTGGCTATTAATCGTTTAGTTTTATTAATTTTTTAAGTCAAATAATATAATGCCAAAAGCCTCAAAATGGCAAAAACATTGCCATTTATCGACAATTCTCTTTTAACAGCTTTGAGGGCTTACTTGTGCGTTTCAAAAATTGATAATGAATTATGTGGCTTTCGTTATGGTCAATATAATTACAAAATGGGTTTATTTAAAACTGTTAGTTATGATTTGGGGTAGCAAGATAACTTAGCTTGAAATTTCGCATAAACTTAAACTCAGCCAAAAAGTATGCAATGATAGTTTTGTGATTTGAGCAACAGATGGCGTTCACGGCATTCACTGCATTGTGGTGAACAAACAAACGTTTATCTTGTTTATTAATTAATGATTAAACTTTAATTATTCGTTTTTTTACATTAAAAGCCGTAATTCGAAAGATTTTCAAAACTAAAATATGTTTTAATAAAAATGATTTATATTATTTAAATTACTTTTTTATGGTGCTGCCTCCTGACCCGAATTATCAGTTTTAATATGAAGAGAGCAGACGAACATAAAAAGATCGACTTGCCTCTTAATGCTAATCTTAATAACTGAAACTATAATACTGCAGGACATTAATATATAGTCCTTCGAATTTTCTTTATTCATTATTTCTTTTAATCGTGAATAGATATAGCAGATACTTAGCATTAAAAAAAGGCAAAAACAGTATGAAAAGAATATTTAATATATCTGCCAAAAAGAAACCTCACATATTTCGGTTATCTTCCTTACCTATTGAATTTTCATAATTTTTATATAAATAATTTAACTTTCACCAAGATGCTCACCTCGAGTAAAAATCCGCCTTTCCCCCGAAGTCTGCCAATCAACAATAAAACCAAAATTCTATCGGATAACATGGCTTATGTTCTTCTCTTTAGCTGCTTTGCCAAGAATCCAACTTAATAAAGGGAAACGAGGGTAGAAACGACGTTTTGGATAGAAAATTCGAGCTGCGAGGGCTGTTCCACAGACGTCGGCTCCGATTGGTTCACTTCAGCTGGGAAGCGGATAATAAGAGAGTGCAGATGGCTGTCTCGCTTTAACTTTATCCGATTCAAAAATGAAAGACTCAATAGCCATGGGATTTTGTTTAATGCCGGCTGGCTTTATTATCTTAGCACACACGTTTTGCATAATTTTGCATCTTAAACAGTCAAGGTCATTCACGAGTCCTGTGGTAAGATTGTGTTGTTCGACTTACACGAAGGATTAAAGTTAAGTGGTTGTAATATTCATGTCGGCTATAAAATATTTTAAAGGAGTACACTGAAGAAATTCAATGCAAGGGAAAATTTATAAAATAAATATTCTATCTAACGATAGAATTTCGGTAATCAATGTAAAGATGACAATGTTTGGTTTCAGTGTATTTGGAATTCTAAAAAGTACCCGACATTGACCATTGTCCAGTCATTGAAATAAACAGCCAAATTAGAAAACTCTTATTTTACAAAACGGAATATTAAAAAACCAAGGGCAATGATTATGTACGACGACTTTTTTTAATATTTTCTCATATTTTTTTTTTATATTTCTTATTTTTTGATATGTTTTTTGATAAATAAAAAAAAAAGTTATTAAAATTATAGCACATGCTTAGATGCTCAAACAGAGTTGAATCATTTTAAAAATTTTCTTTCTCATATTTAATTTTTTGATTTTTTTCCAAAGAATTTTAACTTGTTTTTGCAACTACAAGCTAATAAAAAGGTTTTGTGCTTCCTATGTAAGCATATGCTAAAGAAAATCAACATCAAGTTGATTTATTTTATTTTGTTATTCATTTATATAAGATATATATATATATGGTATGGTATATATATATGGTATAAATACAAATCACCTAGAAGTATCCAATTAGCTAGGCCAATCGTGGGCTTTTCTGATTGTGTACTTGAGTTGATTCCCCTTGAAACACAGTATGCAAATTTGATGGACTTTAATGTGTACTTACATATTTATTCAGATGATTTATGCATTATGTTAGCCATGAATTTTCAGCAAATTATGTTTTACATAGCCCGTTAAATGCAAATAAGTTCAACAAGACATTGATTCGGATAGTTTCGGTACTAAAAATCATAAGAGGTATTGTATTTTGTAGTAAAACTTGTTCATCATTTCACAACTACTTAGGGAATGATGAGTAATAGAACTTGCTCATCATTTGACTACTCCTTGGGAAATGTTGAGAAGAGGACTTAACTGAACTTCACAAGAAACCCCATTTTGCCGACTTGAGCCCAGCAACTTAAATTGAGGAATTTCGAATAAAAAACTTTAGAAATCAGGCGTCGCCAATTACAGGTATCAATCAAGAAAACGCTGGTGGAGAATCCCCGCAAGGGGGTTTTGGACTTAGCCGAAAAATGAACATGTGATGAATTCAGCAACTAATTGGGGTGGGAAGCTTAAAATCCTATTCATAAACGTAATGAGCTTGTCTGCGCTGATTTCGTATTCAATTAGAGGGGCGACGGACCAGTTAGCACAGCTCCTGGCCAATGGCCAACATGCAACAGGCATCAGCATAGCCTGATAAGTACCTTCGATTAATTAATCATTACAGAAGCGAACAAAACGCCGGAGTAAAAAGCTGCACAAAACTGAAAGCCCAAAAAACACGAAACAAAAAATGGCACAAATATCGATTTACCCAAAAATTACAAAGGAAACCCGAAAAGTACCGCCAAGTTTTGTTCTTGGAGCGGTGACAGTCGGCGCCGGGCAATCCATCAATTTGGTTGCACTGCCAATTACGCCAGTTACTCGTCACGTCACGTCCCGAACACCGACGGACAACGAACAGCGGACAGTGGTCTACGGACACCTAAAGCCGGACAGATACGGGCTGCCGCGGGGAGACACCAATCGAATCGAATCCACGTAAATCGAACGACGGCAGTTCAAGTTTTTGGAAGTTTTCCAGCTAGAGCTGTGGCGCCCCCATCAACTTGGCGTCAGCTTGTGGTCAGCTCCCGGCTATTCCGGTCGATTGTAAAGACTTGACGCCTTTCGGAGACGTCATCTAGCCCATATATCTTACTTCCGACGCTTTCCATGGCGCTAAACAGACGTTAATGGCGCGACTTACAAATCCCCCGAAACTCCTAAGGCGCATCGAGCACTTGACTAGACATTCATATGCACTTGCAGGCAGGGTGTGGAAGTATCTGATTGTTAATCGATTGTGACACGCTGATCTCCACAGATATGCCTTAAATTTATTGTTCAATTTGATGAGGAAATAATTAAGGCACAACTTTGGCGGAACACCTCCAGAAATATCTCAGTTTACTTATATTTATTACTAAATTTAATTTTGAAACTTGCCACACAAGATGAACTCATACAACTTATTCACAAATGCAACTTAAATAAGTAGAACCATAATCAGCCATCAAAAGATGTAAGATGTAAGACGTAAGATTAAGATACTCAAAGCCTCTTTCGCAAATGTATTTACAAATTTTAAATCATTTATATAAGTTAATTCCATTCAAATTAAATTGGAATTTAAGTCGAAACCTTTTCTTCGACGGTACGTATGTCGCACTTCTTGCCTTCCTCAAAACTTTTTGCTTTTAATGTCTTTGTTACTTCATTTTTGGGTTGATATACTGAATAGTTCTATGGAAATTGTGTATAAGTTGTATTAATGAAATTGATAAGACTAATATAAAAACTATCCAGACGTTCGAAAACAAAGCGCTCGTTTTCGTTTTTACTTCCACTGATAAATTAAATGTTCTTTAATTATCTTAATGGCACGCTTGGATATTTTCTCCTACAACATGTGGTGAGGATCTCGGATCATAGGTTTTTACTAGTAAGCCGTCATTCGATTCCCATTTCAGCCAAAAAAAGCACCTGTCCAATATTCTGAAATGTTCATCTCTACAGATCCCCAAGCTTTCACTTTTTCACACGCATTTCCATCCAATTGATTTTATGTAACCATTAAAAAACACTCCTTCGGATCATATATAATTAAGCTGATATATAAATGTAAAAAAATAAAAGCTTTTCTAACAAAATATGATTTTTTTATTGGTTGCAAATTTAAATTAGTTATTGGTTATTGATTACTGGTTGGTTACAAAACCAACACAGATTATTTTGATTTCGTTTTACCTTTAATATTCCAAATTATTCTTTGAAGTTTTTTCTATTCTTTATTTAACAATATATAGTAAAGGCATCCTGTGTTAAGACACACCAAATATCATCAACTACACTGCAAACTCTTGACTTAAATTAACCTCGAATTATTACTTCTGGAAGATGTGTCTTGTGATGGCTAATTAAATATTTCGCCACTTGATTCTTTTTCAATAAATATTATTTAAAAAATCATATAAAATATTTAAAACCACCATCTATATGCAAAGTCTAAATATCTAAACTTTGGTCTTGAAATTCAAGGCAATTAATCCAGTAAATTTTTCAGACTCATAAATGGTAAAAGCTAATTGACGACTTGATGTGACCAGTGAAATGTACAAAAAGAGAATAGATCTTAAATTCCAAACTATGAAAACCAGAATATTAAAATTAGGAATAATTTTATATACATTTTTCATACCTTTTCTCATTAAATTCTGGTACCCAAAACGATTTCATTTCCGGATTACCGATGCTGTAACAACTTCATTGCGATTACAGGCATTTGGCAAAAGAGGAAATATCGCTTAACTCCCCGGGAACTGTCAGGAAATATCCCAATCCCAATCCCAACCAAGTGCAGTAACAAGGATACCTTAGCCTAACACATATACTCGTATATATACACTTTGGCCATGTGGGACAGTTTCAGTTTTGGGATCGGGATTGGGCCGAGGCATGTTAGTGATGTCTGTGTGTGTGTGTACATATATTGAAAGACACTCGCACACATCCTGTTACTATTAATTGCTGCTGTCCGAAAAATATAACAAATCACCTTGGAGCGTTGGGCAGGACCGCCCGAAAGGACGAAACGAATGGCCACTCTAGCAAGCCGTCGCCCCCGCCCCTTTGCAGTCGCCCTGCGAGTGTAGAGACAAAAACTTGTGAAAATGTCAATCAAGTTGTACAAAAAAACGAAAACGAAACGAAAAATTCCCAATCGAAAAGAGGAAGGAGCGAACAACGAAGTTTTCCAGACAGCCAAAGATGATGCATTGTGCGTGAAAGGTGCATGAAGATATCTGACGGTTGTATCTCTATCCCTGCCAAGTGACAGACCCATACACCGGATAACTCTTAGGGGGCGCCTACGAATTGCATCCCACTGAGTCAGAGTCAAGCCCCGGAGATAGTGTCAGGGACCAGGGGTCTTTCGGGATCGGGGGGAAAGTCGTTCGACGGCGATTTAAATTCCACACCGCTGCCATAGATGAGCTGTCATATGTGCAAATGACGATTGACAGCTGCCACAGTCAGCATCCGTTCACAGCTCCTCCTGGTCGCAAGCCCAGTCCTAGTCTCTGTCCCGAAACCCATTCCGAGTTAACATTTCCCAATTGCAATCCCATGGCAAGCTTCTCTTCGTTACCTGCCCGTCAATTCTTTTGGGAATTTCGTGCGAGGTGCTAAAACGTGCCAAAACCACAAAACAAATACACAACATTGGGTTTCCAGTTAAAACAAGACGTCGACATGAGCATGGCCAGGGGCGTAACTTTTAATACTATCAGCGGGCGGCAGGGCCGGATTAACCGGAAAACTATCTGGGCCCAAAACGGAATAGAAAACCTGTGATAAAGTAAAGGTTTGATGGGCGGAGAGTTCTCTACTACTTTATTATAATGAATAAACAAGAAACCTGACTGCCTAAATACAACCTAAAGCGGTTAACTGTGAAACAATATTAACATTCGACTTTTCATTGTCTTATTAATTGAATTATACAATATCAAAAAACATTTATTTCGATTTATATTAATACCTATTGGAAACTCCGTAATAAGAAAATCTTTCAAAATGAAAACTTAGGACTTAAAACAAAAACATTTTCAAAGAGACTGCTCAAATTACTGTTTATTTTCTTTAAGATAATAACAATTAAAAAACAAAAGTTGATCGTTTTGTATGACTTTTGAAACCGCCTTATTTTTATTCCCAAAACTTCTAACAGAAACATTTATCAATCCCAGTTTGGAGCTCGCGTGTATAACAAAAATATTTTTGAAACCTTAACTTAGTATTTTGAAACTCTTAACAATATTAAATTCAAAAGGAGCTGGATAAGAAGGAACAATGGTAAACCTGAAAGTTGATTACAGAGCACTGCTGCTGTGACCTTCTACTCTGGCTGTAAATAATTAAGTGTTTGATTTGCCAAATTGGTAGATACAAAAACATGGTTCTTCTTAAAATTTATAAGAACTCCAAATGAGTAAATACAATTTCGCCATGGCTGAATAATTGGTCAAAATGAAGAATTGTTTTTACATATTTAATTCTTTAATTAATTCAAATTTTAAAATGTGAGATTAGTGATGTAACATAATATAATTAAGATATAAAGATAATCGCATTTCAATGATTTCCAATACTAACACTTTTCAAGATTAAAGATTCCAAAACAAATCTGCTTTAAAAATCGACCTTATAGATTTTTATAAAAGACAGACTAATATTAAATTAATTTTTGAAGATGTGTGATCGGTTTGGGAATCCCCTCCGACAACCCCTGATAATCCCCTTCAGATCAACACCAGCTCATTGCATAATTTTGACTCCGCACTTAGGTCTCCCATCTTGAGTCGCTGGCAATCCGCTCCTGACATGGCGACTAGCAAAAACAGAAAACGGGCAAACGAAGAACGAGAACGAGAAAATCTAAATGGAAACGGCAACTGCCAAAAACCGGTAGTGAATATACGTTATGTGGTATATGACTAACCCCCGAACCACTGAACCACTGATAAGGGCAGTCAGCCGGGGAAACCAGAAGAGTGAGCGAGACGACAGTGGCGGTACAAATGCAGCAAGCGAAAGAGAAGGCAAGACAGCAGTCTAACCTGAAAAGGGGGTGTGGCCTAAGGCCAGCGGTTGGACGGTCTGAAAGAAATCGGGTTCGGGCCAGTAATCAGTCACGACTTGGTTAGCGCGCAGGCAGCACGTCGTCGTCGCCATCGTCATCGGGAATCGTGTTTGCAGTTCGATAAAGATAAAACCCCAAACCGATAGCACTCGTCGCGTAAAATTCATAAAAATTGAACTTTTAAAGTATATATTTTGAAGAACTGTGTTGGAAAGTGAAGTGAAATAGAAGATATACCGGATATATCAGAGTTGGGCGAAAGTGCGGTTCCGGCTGGACAATATGATGGACGTAAGCAGCATGTACGGCAACCACCCGCACCACCACCACCCACATGCCAATGCCTACGATGGCTATAGCAGCACCACCGCGGCGGCTGCCAATGCCAGCAACTACTTTGCCCCGCAGCAACATCAGCACCATCTGCAGCAGCAGCAGCAGCAACATCAGCAGTTGCAGCAGCAACACCAGCAACATCTCACCTACAACGGCTATGAGAGTAGCTCTCCGGGCAACTACTACCCGCAGCAGCAGGCGCAGCTAACACCACCGCCCACCGGCAACCACCAGGTGGTGCAACAGCAGCAACAGCAACAGCAACCGCAGCAGCAGCAACAGCTCTATCCGCATTCGCATCTCTTTAGCCCAAGTGCGGCGGAGTATGGCATCACCACAAGCGCGGCCGCGGGAAATCCGGGCACCCCACTCCATCCCACTAGCCACTCTCCGGCGGATTCTTACTACGAAAGCGATTCGGTGCACTCCTACTATGCCACCGCCGCCGTGGCCACCGTTGCCCCACCCAGCAACAGTTCCCCTGTGACCGCCGCCAATGCAAATGTCACCAGCAACACGCAGCAGCAGCAGCAACAGGCAGCCATCATCAGCTCCGAGAACGGAATGATGTACACCAACCTGGACTGCATGTATCCCACGGCCCAGGCCCAGGCTCCGGTTCACGGATACGCCGGCCAGATCGAGGAGAAGTACGCAGCCGTGCTACATGCCAGTTATGCCCCTGGACTGGTGCTTGAGGATCAAGATCCCATGATGCAGCAGGCCACGCAGTCGCAGATGTGGCACCATCAGCAACACTTGGCCGGAGGCTATGCCCTGGATGCCATGGACTCGCTGGGTATGCATGCGCACATGCATCACGGCCTGGCCCACGGACACTTGGCCAACTTGGCCAGCAACTCGCACCAACAACACCCACAACTTCAGCAGCAACAGCAGCAGCAGGCACACCAGCAACAGCAACACCCGCCGAACCAATCGCCAGCGGCACAGCAGCAACAACACCAGAACTCCGTGTCTCCCAACGGCGGCATGAGTCGCCAGCAACGCGGCGGAGTGATCTCCCCCGGCAGCTCCACTTCCTCGTCCACCGCCTCCGCCTCGAATGGCACACATCCTGCCAGCTCACAATCAAAATCGCCAAATCATTCCAGCAGCATTCCCACCTACAAGTGGATGCAGCTCAAAAGGAATGTTCCCAAGCCTCAGGGTAAGTCGAAAGCTAAGGATTTAAGTTAAAAGAAGGAATTTTAATGTTTGGGGGAAAGCTTAACGTTCTTCAGAAGTCGGAAAATGGTTTACAATAATCGAAATTATGAAGAAGATGATGAATCAAACATAAACCCTTCCATTTCATAACTTTTTATCACCTACCTATCTCAAACACCTATTACTCCTATCGATAATTGGCAGAACTGGAAAACACAAGAATTGAATACAATTTCCATGCCAAAAAAGGAAATGCTCTTAAAAAATATATGTCTTATAGGTATCAGCATAGGGGAAGAAGAGAATGATTTTTACAAATTATAATTTTATTAGCATTTCTGTGGTATTTTTTCTAAAGAAGGGTCGTCGAACACAGCTGTATTCCCAATATAAGTAATGTTAATGAAGGATCTCCTGAATATAGGATTTGTGTTAAGTTTGTAGTTAATGCCTTTTCAAAATGTATATACGACCTAATTATTACTACTTGATATTCCCAGAGTCCCCAGACTGTCTTAAATTGTTAAAAACTCTTCACATTCTCACAATTGTTCATAGCCCGCTTACTAGAACTAACATAAACCAAGACAGAGGCTAATTAGGCAACGCCTCCGGCAATTACAAAACCTCATACTTGGCTTATAGCCATATTTAAGTTTTTAGCCTGTCTGACTAGAAGAAAAGTGTCAACTCAAGTGGTTGGCTCAATAGATCAGGTTCCTATAAGCTAATGCTTAAGATATATTTTTAGCTAATCGGACAGTAATTATGCAAACAAAAATATATACAGAATATTGTTTATTTTTAAAGAATGAGCCAAGGAAAGAAAACCAAGTAAATTTCGAAAATCATGAAACGATGACTTTCAAAACTGATTGACAGGCCAAGATACAAGAATCAGTCAAGCAGTGGAACGAGAAGAAGATGAATAAGAATGGGAATGATGTGACGTCGGGGGAGAGGATTAAATTAAATTAACAAAAAATTAAAAACCTTAATAAGTTCTTTAAATAGCCAACTAAGAAAGACTAAATTTAAAAATAGAAACATCATAAATGTGAACAATTAGCACTGCAGAAATATTAGCAAACTTACGCTGGATGCGTCAGACAGAATGTCAAGAAAGACGTCCAACTGGGAGCATGTCACCTAAAAATAAGAATGTCTCTTCAAATGCCAAAGATTTCCCCAAGCCCCGTTCTTCAGCCCCTCTCTACAGAATCTCAATTCTTCCCCACTCCACCTCTCATCATTTTCGCCTTCCTCTCGGACTCTCCTTTTGGCATATTTCTTGCATATTTCAGATAATTTTGTCAATGCCTGTGCAGTCAGTCAGGTTGTCACTTGTCACATTGCCGTGGCGTGGAGTTTTGTATCTCGGAATTAGCCAGCTAAGAAACTGTATGTGCCTCGATAAAACGATTCGAAAATCGTATAATGCGTACGATAAATAAAATGTTGATTATCCCAAAAGAGCAGCTGCCACTGAAAAAACCAGTATTTTTATTCATACCTCGTCAATTGCACAAAAATCGAGCGTAAGCTTTTAATTGCTTTTCTAAGAGTTAGAGGTCAGTCATAAAAATATATATAAAAAATATATTGAATGAGGTGTTTATGGTTTACCCTGAGCCTAAGATAATTGCTGGGAAAGGTAGTAGAACCAATTTGAGGCCAAATAATGTATGTAGTTTCTGAATATATAACTTTTGACGTTGCTAGCATTCTTTGAATGTTGAAAGTTTTCTGTTATTATTACCCTTTTGGAGTCAACAAATGATGATATTTATAAATAAATCATTAACTGATATTATTAATGATTAATTCCTTCATTCATTGCTGATGCTTTTTAATGGGACTTTATAAGGAAACATATTTAATCCTGTAGAGCTTAACTTTACATTTGATTCGCAATATCCTGCTACCCACATTTCAATATTCCACCAATCCATCCATCCATCCTCTCAAACCTGTTGACCAAATTCAGTCCGCTTATGAGCCTCCTGGTAATGCACTTAACCTGTTCATGAATCGGTTGCACAACTGACGTGATCACTGATATCGGAGCATCGAGCATCGGGCATCAGACCACTTACAGTTCAAACGTTAATCCCTTGGCTACACCAATAATCATACAAATATTTGCTTATTAATGCTGAAAAGTGTCATTTACATGCATCGTTTTCAATTAAACGACGCCACAGAGGCCCAAGTCGAACGCAGCCGATCTGAGATCCCAGATCGCCGATCCAAGATCCCCACGCGCCGCACCCAAAACCAACCCGAACCGAACGGCATCAAGACCCAAATACGATCCTCGAATGACGCGTGCAAGTGGAACCAGGCGCTAAGATGGGGAGCTAGGTGGGGCAGGGAGTGATAGGCTGCACGGAAAGAAAATTGATTAATTACAAAGATTAAATGATAGATTTGCATTGTATCGAAACTGGTATTACTTATCCTTGACTTCGGTAAACTTAAATTGCAACCTTAAAAACTCATAATAAATAGTATTCCGCTTTTCCTATCTGGAAACAGCCTAGAGTTGATCTTTTCATATCAAAGTAGCAATAGAAACCTCTGAAAATATACATTTTTAAAATCAAATTTCACGTTCTAAAACCTACATTTCGAATCTGAGTTTTTCTCGACGTGTTGCAGGGGCGACCGCAAGTCAAACAAACAATTAAAGCGTGCAGCCAGCGGTCGGGCGATGCAGCTCGAATCCAGAATGAAACTTGCAGCCAGGCGAGAGGGGGCATACATTGTGGGGGACAGGGGCTGCTCCTCGGCATGCCGAACTGGAACTGGAAGTCAAGTTGGCTGTCAGAAAAAATGATTATTTAAATAAGAGTCTCTCGTTTGAGCCTCACTGCAACCGAACTGTCACTGAGCAATGATCTGCTGCCTCGTGGCTCCCCTGGAATCCCCGGGATGTTGGATATTGGATGCTCGCTGTGAGCACATGCTTGGGTCCATCTGTCATGTCATCCATTTTCAGGCAGGGAAACAGCATAATCAGCAATCATGGTTATAAATGGTAGCATTCGACATATTGGCATTCACGCACATACCGACTGGATGTACGCTGACCAGTCCTCCGATTCAAAGAGTTCTCTAATGTGTTAATCAGCATTTTTCAATAACCAGACCACGATACCCGCAGTTGGAGCAGGAAGGAATATGGGAGCCTTGCCATTAAGATTAATGAACATTTTTACAGGGATTTGTCACTGACTAGGAATTGGTTTAAGATACACACGGACAGACACACGCACAGAACTTTCTATTTTTTCAGCCACCAATATCAATCAATGTGCGAAATCTCGAAAATACTTTTGACAAGATTATGATGGCACCTAGATAAAACTAAAATTAGCCAGAGTCAAACAAAATAAGCCAGGCAAGGGACCCAAAAACTTATCCATCATTCAAATGTCAGGGTTAAAGTATTTAGAACGCTTAGGAACTCAACACTGGCGTAAAAATGTGATTTTCAAGTTGGAAAAACTAAAACTTAGCATGCAAAAATGAAAATCAGCAATAGTAATAGATTTAACTTTAAACTGTAGTTTTTCGTTGTTATCTTCCAAATATCTATCCCCTATTAGCACCCAACTAGAGGCTTTACGACCTGATATAGTGATAATTTTGTTTACTTTTATTAGCCCAACATAATTGAAAAGTTCTAAAGAGGCGGGCCAGTTTTGGCCTTGTTGTGGCTGAACAGTTTAATTAATGCCTGGCAACTGGAAGTTCTGTTCGTGTTTTATTGTTTTTTAAACGATCTACCACTTTGTTCGGGAATCCGGCCCACTCCCCCGAGGGGCGGGTGGGAATTTCCACACGCAAAGCCACTGCTCAGAAAATATGAAATATGAAAATAGCTGACAAAAGTGAAGGAAACTCGAATTAACATAAATGTTGGTGGAAAAACGAAACATTGGAAAACTTTTGGCCAAAAGGCTGCAAAAGGTGTTTGTTCTCTGGGCCACTAGAAGTTCATGGGTCAGGGGAGTGGCAGTTGGGGGGCATTCGCTTGGGGTATTCAACATTTATTTGATGTGATGTTTTGATATTTCTTGACACCAACACGCGACGCGGCCCGAAGAGCGACGAATGTGCCACAATGAAAACGAAATGAATTAATTACGTGCATTTCAAAACAGAAATTGGTAAGATATATAAACCAACGAACGGCGGCCGGCGAACGGCGACTGAGAACCCCGAAACAAAGACCCCTGGACAAGAAATGAGGCAGACTATTTAAATGAAATGATATTGTGGATAGAAAAGTGACCACCAGGAATGCGAGATAACATCAAGCGCTTGCCCAAACCCAAACCCAAACCCAAGCCCAAGCCCAGCCGAACCGTACCAAACTGAACCTAACCGAACAGAACTGAGAGCTGAACCGGGAGCCCCGCCCGCTTGTCTGTCACCGACATCGTCATCGTCAGTGGCTCGGGTCTCTGCTCTGTGGTCCGTCACAGAGGCTAGTTAGTTGGAGATCGTAGCGTGAGCGATTCAGAATGGGAATTATGTCTTGTACTTATAAGAGGAATGATCATATAATGATCTATATTATACGTTAGAGTCTGATCACATACTGAAATATGTACCTTTGAAAACCGTTAAATTTACTTAGATTCTGCCTTGACTTAGATTATTTCGGATTATACGAAAACTTACTTAATTTAACGAGCCTTTGGTAAAAAGATAATGAAATTCTTTGAGAACTTACTGTTTTTGTAAATTACTTTACGATAAGATTTTTCAACACGAATTTCCCTATCACGCTCCCATCTCTATCTCAGGCTTTCGTATACCTCCTCCAACCTCAACCGAAAACCAAAAAAGGCCAAACCGGGGCCAAAAATGTATGGCATGTGTCGTGACAAATTTTGTCCGCTGGCGCGCGCTGAGTTAACATTTTTGAAAGCGTATTATTAAATTTCTTTCTTTCCCCTCTCTTTTTCATTTCTCCACACACCTCCATCA